GTTATTCTTGCTTAAAGTTATAAAAAATTTTTATTATAAAAAATTTGCTTGATTTCTATTGACTCACCCCCATATATTGTTTATTATTTTTCAACTCTTTAAATATTAATCTTGACATAATTTCAATCAAGATATTATCCACACTTTTAAATTATCTCCAAGTAGATCATATGCAAAACGATTCACTTGATTGGGGTTCGTTACTTGTATATAGTTGTAAAGACAATTGTCATGTAAGTGATAAGAATTATGTTGAAGAAATTTTGTGGCGACAGGATTTTAGTAATGAAGGTTTAAATTGGAGTGGATTCAGATCAATATAAATTATTTCATATAATTCATTTGAATGTTTTAATTTTTTATAAACTTTCAAAAATTTTGAATGATTGAAAATGAATGGGATGAAACTTATAAATTTGAGATTTATTGTGTTTTTGATCCTCTATCGATAAAAATTGTTTAGTTAACAAAAATATTAAAGTTTTCAATTGAGATTTATTGTGTTTTTGATCCTCTATCGATAAAAATTGTTTAGTTAACAAAAATATTAAAGTTTTCAATTCTAAAGTTTACCTACAATAAGTTATGTAAATATTGAATCTTTCAATGTTAGATAATTCGTAATTAAAACCTGTCGTTTTAACGTTTTGACTGCATAAAAAAATGAAGAGATTGATTGATATGTCACAATGGGTAAGTTTATAGTGTATATAGCTTAGGTTGGTAAAGGTCCTAGGTTTGGAACCTAAAACCTAGTTTTTTGAACCTAGTTTTTAAAAACCAGGTCCTAATTTTGGAACCTAGGTTTTTAGGTTTATGATAGATTTTTAGGTTCATGGTAGGTTCTTAGGTTTTTAGGTTTGTTTTTGAAATCATTTAATATAATAAATATAATAACATAATAAATAAAAGATGACTAACTAAAGAGCCAATGAATAACTTATTATATATATCAATATATATATACAAAAATATAAATTAATTTTATATTTCTGATTATATTTTAAAGGAACCAGGTTTAGGAACTAGGTTTGAAAACCAGGTTTTGGAACTTTTAAAAACCAGGTTCTTAGGTTTTTGAAATGGAACCTAAAGGTTCCAAACCTAAACCAACCTAACCATTTCTAATATAGCTCAAATGAAGTAAAACTTTTATATCAACGTAATATTATCATAAAAAGCTACAGTAATTTTCTTGTCTCAACAAGTTTATTTATTTGTATAATTTATAATATAAATATACCGTATAGCGCTGCATATAGTACCCCCTGGAATAGTATCCCCTTTTTTTTGACAAGCGATTTGTGCTCAATTTTCATAATTAATGCACGATCTTTTCATTGGATTTGATATGTAGTATATCTGATATATTGATTGGTAACGATTATTTGTATTATCCTCCTATCTCTCAATACTTGGGGGATATTATTCAATATAGGCCGGCTTTTTTGTAAATACCTGGGGTACTGCATGCAGCGCTGTACGGTATATTCTTTTAAATAAATTAATTTAAATTGATCGTGATTACACTTAGGTTAATCCCTGGAGCTGTAACCACCAATTTTTTTCATAGAGCTATTTTGATTGACTAAAATTTAGCATTGATAGAGTAATCAAAAGGATTACTCAAGTAGGTTCTCTCATTTATTATTTTTTTATAATTTGGATCTTTAACGAAGCCGTTGTTAATACCAAAAAATTAATCTGCTGCTCTTCGTAATAAAAGCACAGCAGATAAAAAACAAAATTAATACACAAAGAGCAAACACTTCTATCATCTAGTTTAAGAGGATGAGCCGAAGGAAAAGTTTTATTAATCAAAAATTAAGATGCCAAGCTTAGGAACTAAAGTTTGGGTGTTTTTTTTTGAGATAAAAAGAGCTCAAGCATCAATATTCATTTTTGTCAACTGATTGCAACGTTTGAGCGTCATCTCAATCACTAGCCAACTAAATTGAGGAAGATGTTTGAGAACGGTCTTAATCTATAGTATATATACGCATGCGCGTTATTTAGAATACGCGCATGTGACGTCATTTTGAGACGAAGTAACATTTCTCCAAACCTGCCTGCTATATCAATTATTTGTTGAAACCTAATATGGGTGCGCGTCATTTGGGACGCACAGAGCATTATTTCGAACCTATTCTTAACCGTTAAAGAATCTTGTCAATTATTTGCTATTATTGTCTTTGTTATTTTTAATTTGCTACAAGTCACTCTCGTTATAGTGAATCTTCTCTCGATATAAGCTATAGTGAAGATTTTTATATCAAAATATCTTATATTATAGCGAAGATTTTATTAACCAATAAAATTGACAGATTTTTTGTTATATAGCCATATATAATATATATTTGATTATTGTCTTTACTATGTATATTAAAAGGCTCTCAATATAGTGAATCTCTCAATATAGTGAGGAAATTTTTACAGCCCGAGGGCTTCACTATAAAGAGAATGACTTGTATATTTATTTGATTTTTATTTGATTCACTAATCGATTTATAATTTTTGTCTGGACACAAAAACTTTTTATTTAAATTTTTTTACCTCTATAAAATTAACATTTGCTCATAATCCGGTCGGATCAAATTTTACTAAACTTAAAAAAATTTGTGTACTTATTACATTAGGTGCTGAAAATCTTATGAAGCTAATTTATAAGTTTTATATGTCATGAGATAATCGGATTTTTCAGTAATATTGTACCAAGAATTTTCTAAATATTATATAAGTTTAAAATTTAGTTTTCTTACTTTGAATTAAAATTTTAATACTGTAGTTTTGATAATTAATACCGTATTTTTGCAGAATTATCGCTACTAGAGATTGGAATTAGTTAACTAAAAAATAATCTAACAATATACAACGTTTAATCGACTACCAATCCTTAACTCTTACAGCCTTTTTTTAGTGTACTATGTATAATCGGTTTATTTATACGGCAAATTCTCTTTTACAATAAAACGCCGACTTAGTTAAAATTAATTAAATAGTACAGTATAGTCTTTTCTAATATAGTACCATCTCGATTATATCCTAGTATACGCAATTAAATATTTTATAATACCCTCGTGATTTTTACTTCGCAAAATTCGGTACTATAAAGATAGGTATATTAGAATATTCATACGCATACTTGGAAATTATTCAATGCCTTGCTATTAGAGGTGTTACGATCCGTCCAGTCTGATCTCGGTCCTAAAGGACCAGTCCTTAGCAGAGGACCATGTGATCCAGGACCAGTCCATAAACCGGTCTATTGGCTAATTTTCACTTGTTAACGTTATGAACGATCAATAGCTACATACTAGGAACTGGAAACCAGTAAAAGTCCGGAGCATAAAAGTGTATAGGAAGCAGTACAAATCGGTATAAAAGGTCTGTACAACGGTAATATATCACTTATGTAATAGAAATATTCGACCAATCAGCATTCATAAAAGCGGACGGAAGGACAACTCCACGTGATCTCGATGATCACAGTCTATCGTAAAAACAGAGTGTCCTCCGCTTCGCTCCGGACAATAAAAAGGCAAAGCTTATTTACGTTAATTGATGTTAGCATTACCGTTATTCAAAAGTATATACTGTATATACAAAAATTTAAAGATCGAAATATTATCGCATTAATGTTTGACAAATTTTATATTGTTATAACTATATTAACATCGTTTAAACATATAAATTTTTTGTCTTTTTATTTTTATATATCAAAAAAATTATCTAATATTTCTGTATTTCGGGGACACTTATTTCAGATTTTTTGACTTATAACTATTATATCATATTATAAATTATGTACCAGTCCAGATTGGTCCCCAATTTACGACCGAAAACCGCTTGGACTAATCCAAAGACCAGTCTGGACCACGGTCTTTACAGGACCGTAACATCCCTACTTACTATTAAGCAACCTATCAATTATGGAATTTTTATGTGATAAATATTATTTCATAAGCTGAAATAGTAAACTCATTGAATAAAATCGCTAATACATACTACGTAATAAATAACTGCTGTAATTTATGCTCTCTTTTGATTGTTCGGTAACCCAGCCGTATCGGCTGGGTTACCAACAGCCCATAAAATACAGCAGTTACTTATTTCATACTTAACTATAAGCTATATTATTATATTATATCTTGATATTATATCTTGTATCATTATGATATCGATATAATTACGTATTAATATTTCCTTTCCTTTTAAGGAAAATTGAGTACGTAATTTTATATAGTATAATATATATAGTATATAATTCGTCCATTCTCAAACCACGCTCACCACTCTATTCCAAAAGATCCATGTTGCAAAAACATAAATAATTATTCGGATCCACTTATTATACAAAATGAAATTAATAAAATAAGGAAAATAGAACTGAACATATGGTGGAATTTGATCGATCATGTATATGTTGATAGGTAGCGCTAGAAATATTCCTGTGTACTGTTGTATAAAATAATAATATGAGAAAAGGAATCATCATGAGAAATCGAGCTCAAAATGAGGTAAAGGTATTAATTACGATCGTTACTTCCAGACAGGTTATTGGATACTTTCAATATCTAATACTATATAATACGGTAAAATACCCTTCAGACAAACTAATGTTGTATGTATATAAAAATAACGTATTTTTGCAGAATAAAGTATCAAAATATAATTGAACATTGTGTAGTATCTTGTAACTTTTATCCTGCAAAGTATAAACATTAATGAATAAATTTGGCGATAATATCATAGAAGTATCCAGGGACCTGCCCAAACCTCCTAGGTTTGGAACCTAAAAACCTGGTTTTGGAACCTAGTTTTTAAAAAC